AATGACATGAGAAATAACCTGAAAAAGAACTCTTAAAAAAAAAAGAAAAGCAGCAAAACCCCCCAAAATAAAAAAGGAATTATCTGGAGGATTGACTCAGAGCTACAAGGTAGATATGAATTTTTGGTAAGTGATGGCAAGTCATATTGTCCCAGCAGTAATGCACACGATAGCAAAGCTACAGCAAGATTTAATTTAATATAATTCATAAACATGTCACATGTTTATACTTTTGGCTATCAGCCTTTCCAAGGCTTGTTTCACCTCTTTGTTCCTCAAGCTGTAAATCAAGGGGTTCATCAATGGAGACATCAACGTGTAAGAGAGAGTAAGCAGTTTGTTACTGCTGGTTGAATTAAAAAAAAAAAAAAAAAAAAAAAAAAGCTTTGCGTCTCAAGTAGGTGACAATGCCAGATCCACAAAACAGAATGACCACGACCAGGTGAGATGAGCAGGTAGAGAATGTTTTTCTCTTGTCCCCAGCTGATGGCATCTTGAAGATGGTGTGGAGTGTCTGGACATATGACACAACTATGAGTAAGAAGGGTACCATGATGAAGAGGACAGCTATTATGTAGGTGGTGATTTCATTCTTGTAGGTGTCCGCACCAGCCAGCTTCAACAGAGGTGGCAGATCACAGTGAAGTGATTGATCCTGTTGGGCCCACCATATGGAAGGATAAAGATGAAAGTTGCTGCCCAGACGGTTGTCTGTTGTGGCCCTAAGGCCAAGACCCCAGTAAGCCAAGATACAGCTGATAACAGGAAGCACTTATTCCGGCTCATCATGGTCGTGTAGCGCAGGCGGTGGCACATGGCCACATAGCGATCATAGGTCATGGCAGACAGCAGACAACATTCTGTGATCCCTAAGAGGGAGAAGGCATACATCTGAGTGGCACAGCCCAGAAAGGATATGCCCTTCCTTTGTGTGAGGAAGTTCACAGCATCTTGGGGATTCTGGATGTAGTGTAGCCAATCTCCAGGAAGGACAAGTTCTGGAGGAAAAAATACATGGAGGAGTGAAGGGAAGCATCCCCCAATGTGATCATAATGATGAGGGTGTTTCCCACCAAAATACAGAGGTACATGAGCAACATCAGACAAAAGAGAGAGCCTTGGATCTCTGGACTGCTGGGAAAAGGCAAAAATTGGAAACAGGTTGCCACTGTGTGGTTCCAGCTGAGGTCATGTCCCTCATTTTTTTTTAAGCTGCAGAAATCATTACATACCTGTTTTCTAGTTAATCTAGAGAAACACAAAAGAGTAAATTAAATATATATATATATTTCTTTGTAACAGGACAAGATCCCAGAAGAGGAAGTGATATTTTACTGATGTGTTTCAGTATTTCTAGTGCCAAAGGTTGTTTAGAGGAGGGAGGGAAGGTGGTTCCCTTCACACAGCTTTTGATAAGCAAGAGCAACTGTTCCAAATGAGTGTACTTCGCTTCTAGTCAATGGAAAGGAAGATATGTCTTCTTTATGATGGCAGAATATTTTACTCTTCCTGCCTTTTAGGATGAGGACTGTACTCTACTCGCCCAGTCTTTGAAGCAGACTTTTCTCCCATTATCCAGCCAAGATCTGCTACCCTAACACCTGCTGCCAAGCAAAGAAGGCTGGTCCTTAACACCCAGAAAAAATTAATTCATTGATACAGCAAGTTTTTTGTCAAGGAGTCCCTCTTGCTATCATTCTGTGGATGGGGTTCACTCTAGAAAAAATCACCTACTGAACACAGATAATCCTGCATACACTCTGTGTACACAGCACCACACGATTACTGTCATCAGTGTGTGTCTTCACTTCTATCCCACCTGCACACTACATAAAAAGAAAAGTAGTACAGGTCCACCATAAAAGGTAAAACTGACAGCACATGCTACCTTTTGTTTCTCCACTCAGGGTTAGGTCAAGTTCAGCATACTGTGAACAGACAGGAGGCAACAGGCACAAATAGAAATACAGGAAATTCCATTTAAAAACAAGACAGAGTTTTGTTGGTTGGTTGTTGTTGTATGTTGAGTTTGGTCAAGCACTGAAACAGGTTACCCAAAGAGGCTGTGGAGTCTCCGTCTTTGGAGATACTCAGAATCTGATGGGACATGGCCATGAGCAATGTGCTTTAGCTGACCCTTCTGTGAGTGGGGGTTTTTACCAAATGATCTCCACAAGTCCCTGCCAATCGCAGCTCTTCCATGATTCTGTGAAATGAACTTTTTACAGAATGGCACACATGCTATCTTCCTCTCATAATTTATCCTAACACTAGAGGGAGGGTTTTTTTGAAAGTTTTTTTTCTTTTACACATACATTGAAGAGGACAGGGAAGACTTCCTGTTTAACTAGCTGCTCTGATTTCATTGACATAATTTGAATGGGACGGGGGACGCAACTTTCAGTTAATAAGAAAAAAGCCAGACCTGAAGCACACATATGCGCAGGCACACACACACACAGAAAACCCCAGACATTATAAACCCTTCCTATTGATAATTAGAACAAAAAAGTACTAAAGAATGTGGCTCACTCTCTAGGAAACTACCTTTGTCTCAGGCGCTCTTCAGGAGGAGACAAGACATAAAAAATGTCTTGGAATTTATTTTCTATTCCAATAATCCATTCACTTCATAGATAGATGAGTCTCCCTTAAAGAGGAGCCCTGTGTAGGTGGCAGAAGAACAATAGCATATGGAAGAAGAGAAAGAAGACTGAAATAACATAAGGTAGCTCACCTGATGTTAGAAGACAGCTGTGGTTAATATTTTTGGAAAAGTTGCATCACAAACCTTGAGTATTTTCCCAGTGGATAACAGTCTGTTGGGTATTGATTTGTTTGCAATTGTAGGAGTCAGTTATTTTTTCCTCATTTTTTAGGTACAACAAAACCCTCTCTGGTTCTCCTGTTAGCTCCTGGACTTAACTTTAAAGAAAGACCTATAGAGCATTTGCATACATCTGTTTTAATCTTTTATTTTTTAATCAGTCATGGTCTTGGGGCTGATCCCACCTAACTTTAGGGATAAAAGTTTGCTATGGAAATAAACTACACGAACTAGGCACAGGAAAAAGGCTTTGCAGGAGGAGAGAGCATGTGCATAGCTCAGGTCTAACTCTGGCTTTAAGCTGTCTAATTAACGGTGAGGGACAGGCCCCTCCGTGGGAGAACTCATCATGCCATCTCAGATAGGCCCTTCAGATTGTTCAGAAATTGTCCTCTATGGATAATAATTTCTGTCTTTATTTGGATGAATCATACTATGCTTCTGTTTAATTAAACAAAGATACAGCACTTCTAAGCAGTCACTTACCTTGTCATCCAGAAGACACCTACATCACATTAGGTGATTCCTCCCTACAAAATCACTTTCTCTCTGCTGTTCATGGAAGATGACTACAATGCAGATGTCACTCTACAGTCGATGACTAAAGATAAGAGCAGGGAAGGACTGTCCTAAGGCCAGGTGAAAGAAATTCAGACGGAATGAGAAGTCTTAACACTGACAGTGCAGATATCAGTCAGCAATTCCACTTTTAATCAAATATAACCCCCAGATTTCTGGAACAAATTTCTCTGGTCTCTGTCTGCACTTTGGTCAAAATGCCCAGAACACTACAAGTGGAATTTTTCTGTATTGAGTCAGATAACCAACATGGAGTGAGAAAAATCTAAGTCCATCATCTGGTCCCTGTTCTGATCAGTGGGGCTGGGCAAGGGTCAGGAGGAGCACGGGGAGCGGTTCTGCACTGTATGATTAATCTGAAAAGCTGCAGTACATACCTGTCAGAGTCAGGCCTGGAGATGATAGTCAAGTCTGGGTGCAGATTTACTCTCAAATGAGTTTAACTGGGGTCTGTTTCAATGCTTAATGTCCAACTGAAACGGTGTCATGCCAGTTGACAGCCCAAGCGGTACATTGCTTTCCTTCTCACTGGGGAAGATGGGCGTCATCTCTTCTGCATTTGGAGAGGCATTGAGGTGAGAGAGACGATGCAGGGTTCCTTCTGGATCTCAATAAGAAAGGCCCAACAACAAATGGCTCAATAAAAGCTCTGTTTTAATAGGATAGAATAAAAATGAATATGGGTAGTGAGCAAATCTTATGTCCCTTCTGATGCTGGGAACCCTGCATTCATGCAGCAGAGGATGGCTTTTCCCACGGCGTGCTCCATAGATCCTGTCCGTGGAGGTAGCTCTCCCTTTTGGTCATTTGATCAATTATGTAATTCCCACACAAGAAAACTCCTCTGTTCCTAAAGGATGTTCTCATGAGAACTTATTGCTTCACTTTTTGACGCAGGCAAGGCCACGCGGGTGGTGCCGTTGTCGGTAGCGAGTGGAAGCTGCCTGCAGGCCCCTTGCTTACCATGAACTTCTGAGTTTATCCTGCGGCCAAGGGATGTGCACAGCACAACACAGACCTGAAGGTCACGTTGGATGTTCAGTACAGCACAGGCCTGGGCCTTCTCAGATAAACTGTTACATGCATCACTAGCTCCTAAACGTGCAATGGTCTCCTGATCAGGATCAACATGAGGCCCAGCTTAAGTGATCTTAAGTGGAGACCCTGGGCCCATGGGCAGAGGGTGTGGGGGGAGGCCATAGGAGAGTCTGGGCAGGGGCATTAAGTCCTATTCCTGCACTCAGGGTCTTTACGAGTTGGTTTGCAGTTTATCATCTCCTTGCAGATACCTACAAGGCTGTAGTAAGATAGAGGTCATCCAACTTTAGATGTCAAAGTAGATGATACATTGGTGTCCGAATTCTTAGTCTGGGAATCTGAATGTCTTTTACAGTCAGTGGAGAAAAACTAGCACTTCTACGGTCTGTTTCACCTGATTCTGACACACTGTAAAGAGCAAGATGATCTAAACTCTGAAAGTGTCCACCTCTCCCCACTAGGTATAAATGTAGTCTAGATGACTGACTCTGGCCAAGACCTTTACAAGGTTAACAGATTTACTAAAGTGATTTGAGTCTCACTCCTAACATAATGTCTATATAAACATTTCCTCCATGTCTGGATGTGAAGATAAAGGTTCACCATATCTGATGTGAGAGAATGAATTATGTTGCTTAGGCACTCCTAGCTTCATGAAATACTGTTGTGTGAAAAGAATTATCAAGGCCTCTTTCACTTTCTCATTCCTCAAGGTGTAGATGAACAGATTTAGTGAAGGTGTGACCACTGAGGACAGCACATTCACAACCTTCTTGATATCAAGAGAAGTCTGTGAAATTCTCATATATATGAATATGGCACTGCCCTTGTATAGAGAGGCGACAGAGATATGAGCACCACAAGTGGAGAAAACCTTTTGTATTCCTGAGGCAGATGTGATCTTCAGCACAGTGGAGAAGATGTACATATAGGAGATGATTGTCCATGTTAAGGAGCCCAGTAAAACCATGGACTGCTGTCACAAAGTCTGCAAGTCTGTCACCACAGGGAAGTTTCAAGAGTGGTTCAGGATTACAGAAGAAATTATCAGTGACATTAGAATGGCTTATGGCAGCCTGAACAGAATGATAATTTGGCTGATTACAAGAAGAAAACTTCCTAGCTAAGAAGCAATGACAAGTTGAAAACACACCTTTGCATTTGTGGGTGCAGGAAACTACATAGCGATCAAAGGACACAACAGGCAGAAGAATGAATGTGGCTATTCCCAGAAAAAAAATAGAAGAAACACTGCTAATGCAATCTGAGAAAGATATAACTTTAGTGTCTGAGACAGAAGGTTCATTAAAATCAATGGTTTAATGGATGTGGTGAAATGGATTTCTAGAAAAGGCAAGTTGAAGAGGAAATACGTAGCAGCATGCAAATCGTGATCTCTCCAAAACCACTGTGCTGCTTGGTTGAATTCCCCAACAGTGTTGACAAGTAAATGCCCAGGAGCATCAGGAATAGTGGAAACTAAAGGCAGTGAGTGACAGACATTCCCAAAAGAATTTATTTAGTCACTGTGCTCTGATTTTCCAAGGGCATTTCTCCTGCATGGAAAATAAATGGGGGTAAATGCAGATAATGTATAAATGTTTTGAACAAAGTAATAAAATCTTGGGATCTTTACAGGAAGCAGATGTATATTTCATCAAAATTTAGGCCACTACATCTCTAATTACACTAGCTAATTATTGCCTAGGAACACAAACTAATTACCTATGAACCCAAATGTCTTGTCTATTTTATTTTCAGAATAATTAAGTGCCTACTTAAGCTAGCATCTGTAGGCTCTAATCTGATACGGGACACATTAAAAGTTGCCTACCTACTATATTTCTCCATTCAGGAAATTCTATAGAGATGTAAAGTTTTTGTTAGGATTTTATACAGAACATAAACAAAAGCTGGAATAGAATACAGTACAGTTAGAGCAGGGTCAACATTGTTAAATGAAGTGATAAACTCATCTGCACATACAAAAGAGGCACAGAGAAACAATGGCAATTCGATTAATAACCTGCCCTGGCTACTGCCGGGCCCATCAGAACAGAGGTACCAGTCCATCAAAGGCCCATTTCCTAAAATTCAGAAAGGCAGATAGGTGCAATAGCTGGGGGAGGGGGACCATGACCCTGATTACAAAGTGCTAAGGAACAAACACCTTACACAAGCTGTCCTAGGAGACCCATCAGACCTGTAAAGCTATCCTAGGAGACTTCTCCCCCACTGGAAGATCCTGGCCAGCTGTATGTGTGTGCATGTGTGTGACAGTCTATAGCAGCAAATGCAGTAGGACTGCCATCTCAGGGGCTCGTATGTCCAAATGCCAGCAGCTGGGGGAGACTTGGATCCAGGGGAGACTGGCAGCTACTGGGCATACTGAGTGTCTGCGCCTGGCTGCTGGAGGCATCTACCTTGTACATTTGTGTATACATATATATGTAAGCATATGTAGATATACATGTATATACATATATACATATGTATATACATATATGTATATATACACATACATGCATATATGTATACATATAAGCACACATATATATATGGCCCCTGAGCTGGGAGGTGGAGATAGTACGCAGAATGAAGTCCCAGTTTTTGAAGAGGTGATAGTCACCAACCTGCTCCTCCATCAGGATGTTCACAAGTCCATGGGGCCGGATGGGATCCACCCAAGGATACTGAAGGAGCTGGCAGAGGAGCTTGCCAAGCCACTCTCCATCATTTATCATCAGTCCTGGTCAACCAGGGAGGTCCCAGGTGACTGGAAGCTAGCAAATGTGATGCCCCTCTACAAGAAGGGTTGGAAGGAGGATCTGGGGAACTACAGGGCTGTCATCCTGACCTCGGTGCCAGGGAAGGTCATGGAGCAAATCATCTTGAGTGCCATTACGCGGCATGTGTGGGACAACGCGGGGATCAGGGTCAGCCAGCATGGGTTTATGAAAGGGAGGTCCTGCTTCACTAGCCTGGTCTCCTTCTATGACAAGGTGACCTGCTTAGTGGATGAGGGGAAGGCTGTGGATGTTGTCTAC